TCATCAACATCATCATCATCATATATATATATATATATATATATAATGATAATTGATCAAAGATTATAATATATAAGAAATATAAAAATATTATTCTATATTTATATTTATTATGATCTTCAATCATATGAAAGTGATCCTTATATATCCTTCATGCTGATGAATCCATCCACTATGATCCAGGCTATGCCTTTAATCATAGGATTTATTTCGACAAGAACTGTTGAATGACATTACATAGCCTGCATGACAACAAGCACTCTCATCAGCATCATCGTCATCATCGTCTTGTTCGACTTCAACCGCAGGAGTGCAGGAAGAGGAGGAGCAACCCACCGACGAGTAAAGTGAGAGAGGACCGCGGCCACCGCCAGCTGGACGCCGAGCTGTTTCGCTGGTCCCTTGGTTGGCGGAGCGTCTGTGAGCCACCGCCGGCGCCCTTCCCACCTCCTTTCCCTGCACCACTTCCCTTCCCCGAGTGGCTTATGCTCGTGCCCTCGTCCAAGTGCTCTTTATTCTCCCCTCTTTCCTTCACAGTCACATTTAAGCCTGCAAGCAGCTCAGTTAATGAGCACCCAAATATGGTGAAGGTTACAGAAACAAGATCTCCTACATCATGCAACCCACCCTGAAGTGGTTGAGCTTTTAGGAGCTGAGGTAGTCGCCAGGCCTCGTCATTTCCACCCAGAGTTCTTTGATCAGCTGAACACCAACAACAACAAAGTTGAAGCAAGAGAGTAAGCACGAAAGATAGGAGATGAGAGGCCTTCATGGATCCGACGAAGTGATTAGCTGCACAGTGACAAGCAGATACTCATGGGGATTTATACACATGAGATCGATGGTTTTCGCTTTATAGAGAGGTGGTGGGAAATGGGTTCGCGTAAAGCATGGATTCTAATCGCACATGAACTCTGTACAACAAAGTAGATTGGAGCTCCACCTGCTCGCTGCCATATGTTCGTTCCCATGCAACTGGAAAGAAGGAAGAAAGCATCTTCCACAGCGTTATCCACAGCACTGCTTTGCTTGTATGCCACGACTTCTTCCCACAATGGCTCCCGTCCTCTCACAAGTTGATGCAACCATGTCATCAAACTTCATTCTTGCTCAAGACTACTATGGAACATGAGATATAGATCCACATTCCAATGACACATCAATATGAGCACGATATCATATCATATCATCTGTCTAATCACCATGAGTGACTATTCACATCATTCCATCAGAGAGAGAGATATATATATATATATATATATATATATATATATATATATATATATACGAGAAATGTGATGATTATGTGACGTGGTAGTGATTTCCATGTTTTAAATGAGACGTAAAGATCATCCATGTTTGAAGCAGACACAGAAATTGGTACCACATCTTATGTTATTGTCCTCTCGTGTACCAAATAACAAAGATTGATACCGTTCCATGTTGCATCCGACGCATGACTGACGTGTATTTGGCGTGGAAGAAGCCGACAAAATTGCTCGATCAAATCCCTCCATAGATTTGTGCACCAACCACTAGATTCCTCATGGGACACATGGTTACCCGCTTCCTACCCTAGCGGGTCATGCTGCCGATCTCCTATCTCAGCCACAAGCAAGCGAGGTAGCCAAGTGGGGAATAAAAAAAGCATCCAAATTATTGGACATTTTTATATATGTTCGACCACGTGGTGCCAAGTCACCAGGAAAACCGGCAATAATGTATTAAAAGTGTACCGCATGAAGGGTACTCTAAAGTTTACCACTTCTTGTGGGCCACTTGTAGTCGACACTTAGGTGGGGTGCTCTGCCGGGGACGGTGTGCGAGTGCATTGATATTATGATGTGACGTGGAATATAAATAGAAAAGCATAATTAAATACAAGTGGATAAAATGTAGAAAGATAAGGAGATGGGTTATGTTACGATCACGTGCTATGCACGCTGCCTCTCGTTGCTTTGTTTCCATTATAATGGTTACCAACCCCTGATTCTTGGCAAAAGGTCTCACTTTTTGGGGGTTTCTGGGCTTGAGGAGTCGCGCTTCGGAGGATGGCGATGTCGATGGGGATGATGAACTCGATGGTTGCGTCGTCGTCTTCGATGGGGAGTTGGGCGAGGAGGGGTGGGGTGGCGAAGGGGAGGAGGAAGGCGGGAAGGAGCAGAGGCGACGTGAGGTGCGCCGCCGCCGCAAGCTTGGCGGATCAGTATCGGATGCTTAGGGTTCAGCCAGGGGCGCCAGAGAAGGAGGTTAAGAAGGCTTTTAGGAAGCTCGCTTTGCAGGTTCCCCTCTTCCCTTCAATCTTTCTCCCTCCCTCCCTCTTATTTTTTTCACTCATTTGATTGTGGTGAGTTGTTTGGGTCTAGATCTGTTAAAACGGAGGGATTTTTGTCGCAAAATGGGTGGTCTGGGTTTAGTTTATCGCTTCTGGGGGAAATCTTGGAAGAGATCTCAAGAAGAATGATTTCAGAACACACTGCAATAAGATTTATTTCTGGCTTGTAATTGCTTTCTTGGCTCTTGACCTGTGGCCTGCATTAAAATTCTCAAAGGTTCCTTTCTGTGTCTTGTTTTGTGATCGTTCTAAATGTTTACATGGGATTGTTTGCAGTATCATCCAGATGTTTGCAAAGGTAGCAATTGCGACGTCCAGTTCCATCGCATCAATGAAGCCTATGATGTAAGTATCACCATGCATCATCCTGTTCTATTTTTTGAGATGCTTTGGATCAAAAAGAGAAATTGCAAGCCGAGCTTGGTTTCTGACAGAGTTGATCTATAACATCTGCAGATTGTAATGAGCAGCTTGAGACAAGCTGATCAGCAGAAGCAAGAGCAATGGCAGCGGCCAGAATGGAGTAGTGATGGTTTCTCCGACGAGGGAATGTACGACTCAGGCTGGGACTTGTGGGAGGAGTGGATGGGGTGGGAAGGGGCTGGCATCAGAGATTACTCCTCCCACATCAACCCTTACATCTGATCAGCCACAAAGCCAATTTTTGCTTCAAGATGACTACTTGAGAACAATGTATGTAAGATAGTGTCAAGTATCAGAAATTGGATGGGTGTATATGATTTCTGGGCTGTGGCAACCTTCCTATTTTTTGTGGGAACGGTGGTCATTGTTCCCAGCAACTTCTGACCATGAAATGTTTGGTCATTTCCCAGCACCTTCTGGCAGTGACATGTATGTGTGAATGGTGTTCATTGTCGATTTGAAAGTAGTTCTGCGTCCACATGATTTTGGATGCGAAGTTTGATACCTAAACTTAACTAAAGGGGTAGAAATCAGATATATTAAGAGTAGTTGGGCAAGCTTCAATTAATTGGTGTGTGTTCATCTCTATCCTATTGCCTCTCAGTTGCAGCACCATATGCTTCCTATCCTGAATGCTTGTGGCTTTTTCTGGTTACCTGTGTTTAGGGGTTATCAATGATTTGAGGCTTCACAAACTCTACAGATATAAGAAAATTTGAAGATTTCTTTTCTCAGATCAAGTTGTATATATCAATCACTCAGATACCAGAAGGTAGCTTCTATAGAGCTAAGTTAAATCTTTCCATGCCATAGGATAGAACCTTTCTTCAGCATCTTCTTATGTTGGGGGAGACAAATCATCCATGACCATAACAACATGATGCAGCACAATGGATCAGCAAAAAACTATATGGCCATTCTTCACATCATTAGACACACTCAGTAATGAACAGCATGTACCTATAATCCATATGATTATTCTTAATGCTTAAACAACTGCTTACAATGTCATGTCCACTAAATTCATCTTAAAAATCTATATGCCGGTTAGTAAACATCTCAACATGTTGCACTCTAAACTAGATCAAGTCGACATACCTTGAATACAAAGTCCAAATTAAAAGTGGAATCAGGGAAAAATAGATAAATTATATATAAGCTGCTTGAAGCTCTGATGATGGATCCAAAGGTGACTGATGAGGGCATATTGAAAGATAGCTAGATGAGGTAGCTTTAGGATCCATTTAACGGATAATGCTGTGGAGTATCAAGACATTCCACCATTCATAATGTCAACTCTAATGACAAATATGTAGAACTGATTATTCTGATTGAGTCACCAAATTCATACTAGGAACACCAGTGGCATTAATAAGGTATAATATTTTGAACTTACCTCTCAATAAAGGGCATGGCTTTTCACCCTTTATGACATAGATTAACCTACACCCTCAAAGCTACCTGATCTTGCCATGTGATCTTTCTCTTCACCACCCGGTTTGATCCACGACCGACATCTCGGCAAATCAAGGGCTTGAGATCATTAGCCACATCATCACAATCCATCAAACTCTTCCTCAACTTATCAGCTTTTGCGGGCCCTAAGCTGACCTGTTGTTCATCCAAACCTTCACCAATCTGCCATGAGGACGTTCAGAAAATATTATTTCTCCTTTTTTGATTGTCAGTCACTTAGGCATGTAGCTTGAGATTGCATTACTTACTGACAAGGAAACCTGGTTCAAGTCTATTACTGCCGGGGTGCTTCGGAAAGAAGCATCTCTGACTATGGAACTCTGGTCTTTGGCAGGGAATTGAAAAGACGAATTTGGAGGTTGATCGATCATGAACAATTGGGACGAGATACTCTGTGGTTTCTTGTTCAGCCTAAGTGGAGCTTTTCGTGATGGATTCATCGATAGACTTTCATATTTTCTCTGCAAGAATCTGTCGGATAGAGATGAACAGGATTAGTCATTGCAATGGCAAATGTTCTTGAACAAGTTTACTCACAAACCGAATGAATATTGATCGCAACTACCGATTTCTCACTAGAAACTTTTGAATTATTTGGAAACATAAGGCAAACATGGAAAAAGAATATAATGTTGAAAAAGCCAAAAGGAAGAGGTTATAACTTGATTTCAGCAAGAAGCTTCAATTTCTTCTGATCCACCTTCTGCAATTTCCTCCTTTTTGCTTCAGTTTCCTGAGATATAGACTTGTAAGATTTTTGAAGAAACAAAGATGCTGGGATGAGTATAAACTGTACAGGAATTATGGTGCCCAAGAAAGCTTATATTCTTCTAGTTAGTATGCCTACACCAAATGAACTGATAAATTATTTCTTAACTCATACTTGAACAAAAGCACTCTCCTTAACTGAAACAGAAATGATAGGTAGATCTTTCAAAACTCAAAATCAAGAGTATAATCCGTCATATGGCCGACGCTGAGCAATGATTTAAACATCTAGATCTGAAAAATCACAATTTAGAGAAAATAAAACAACAAAAGGCAACATTAAGAGACATAGATCTAGTAATTCAAGCAGACTGGCTTGGAAGCAAGAATAATGAAGAAACCTAACACATAATTCTTGGTTTTTATTTTCTTGAGAAAACTCATCTTAAAATTTTGATTAACAGATGCAACCTAAAATTAATAATTTTTATGCGATACCAAACCTTAACTATACATCTAAAGTGCTTCATGCTGAAAAAACATAGGGCTTTTTAGATTATTGAGTCCAAAAGTAATTCAAGTCCAAGATAAGAAAAACCCTAAGCACAGCTCTCCCAGATTCATACACGGACCACAAATAATTTAACCAAGAAGAAACCCAAAGATCTTACCTTTAGCAGATTCTCGTAATCCTGCAGGAGACTCTGGTGCCTGAACCTCGTTTTCGCCTCCTGGCTAACAGGATAATAAGTGGATGGCGGAGAAGACTCCATGGCCGATCTCTTCCCCTTCTTCATCAACATGGCCGCAAAATCGAACCTTTAGAAGGCAGAAGAGGAGAGAAACCCAGATGGAAGGCACCGGATGGGAGAAGGTTCCAACTTTGCAAAGAGAGAGGAGATGGTGGAGAAACAAAGGTGGGGTTTCTTCCTTCCCCTGTCTCCTCCTGAGGTCTGACCATGACCAAAAGGCCCATATGAATTGGGAACAGGAGGGGGGTTACGGTCTTCCTGCTTGGCGGAGACGGGTGGGGAGTTCTCCTGGCTGCAGAGGGGCATTTCTGGTAAGCCAGGGTAGAGAGAGAGAGAGAGAGAGGTTTGGTTGGGTGATGCATATCTGAGGACACCTATCTTTCTTGCGTTGTCTTCCCCCTTTTTTCTCACCTCACCTCTTTCCTTTTCGGTCTTGGCTTCGGTTGTTCTCCCCTCACACAGCTCCTGGTCCAGATGGGCCATCGGGAACAAAGACGGCTACGCGAGGGCATGCACTCTTCCTTGGAGGGTGGAGATTCTTCTGTTTTGCTTCCTTGGCTTGGTTGACAGGGAAGGGTAGAGAGAGAAATAGAGAGACAGGGAGGGTAAGGTGGTGCATATGATGGGAAGAGGAGATGAATGCGCAACATAGCGTTGATTGGGCTGCACAGCAGCGCATTCCTTAACCCTTCGATTTGAGGGTTGATTCGGTCGCACAGCAGCGCATTCCTCGATCCTTCTAGTTGATGGTTGATTAGGTTGCTGCAACGTTACAGCACAGCAGCGCATTCATCAACCCAGCGTAAGGTGGTGCATAAATAGAAGATCCGGGATTCTTCTATTTGATGCCTTTTTACCTATAACGCGTTGTTCTAATAGTGATGTATCATATTCCCACTCGTCGATCCTTCATGATCTAAAAGATGAATCATGACCGTCCATAATCAATCTCCTTCAAATATATTAGATTCAATTCCCGATCGAATCAGATTCGAATCCAGAAAAATTCTATCGATCCAATCAACCAATTCAACGCGCCACCTGATGACCTGTCCCAGTAAATCTACTCGACCGTTGATCTCCAACGGCTATTCCCTCTTCGTCTTCCACCTTAAGTAGCGTCGGAGTGGCTCGACCAGCTTCCCAACCAAGCCATTAACTCAATCTCTCTTCTCGGCGTCACCCATGTCTTCATCATCGCTCGTCTGCCTCACGCTTCTCCTCGTAAGCTTCACTATCTCGGAAGCAAGAGACTACTTGGTCGGGGGCGACGACCGGGCCTGGAGAGTCCCACCCACCACCAACGACTCCCTCAACCGGTGGGCCGAGAAGAATCGGTTCCAAGTCGGCGACTCCCTCGGTAATCTTCGCTCATCCTTCATGCTTCCCTCTGTGTCTACTGGTGAAGGCAGAACGGTCGCTGACGCGGCTCCTGCATGCAGTTTGGAAGTACGACGCCGCGAAGGACTCGGTGCTGCAGGTGACCAGGGAGGCGTACTTGAGCTGCAACAGGTCGAGCCCGGTGGCGGAGCACAGGGATGGGACGGCCGTGGTGGAGCTGCACCGCTCGGGGGCGTACTACTTCATCAGCGGCGCGGAGGGGGCTTGCGAGCAGGGGGAGAAGCTGATCGTGGTAGTGATGTCGGAGCGGCACTCGCTTCGCGGCGGTCTCGCTCTGGGTCCCGGTCTGACGGAGTTCGAGGGCCCGGCGGTGGCGCCAACCAGCGGAGCTTCGACGACGGTCGTACTGAAGAGCGGAGTCGCGGCTGCTCTGCTGGTGTTGGGGATCATACTGTGATGGTGTGGTGATGACGACACATGCGATTTATATTCTTATATTCTTTTATTCTATACAGTGCTTATTATTTGGGATTATATGTGCTATGTGAGTCTATTTGGTAGCAAAATTTCACATCGAAATGTCGATTTAATTCACATTAAACCACAAAAATTAACACTCATAGGAGCAGAAGCATCAAATTAACAAGCAATTCTACCAAACAATTCGATCTTAGAGAACAAAGAATGATGCAATTCTACCAAACAATCCGATCTTAGAGAACAAAGAATGGTGACGATGACATACGACCATACCGATCGAGAACAAATCGATATCAAACATATGAAGTGGCCGCCTTGGATCAGATACCGACACCAGATCCGATCACCATCGAAGCCACGGCGGCGACGAGGAGAGCCGCGGGGTTCGACGGCCACGGACGGAGCCCCGGGGCGGCGGATCCGGCGGCGCCGTGGGTGGAGGCGTTGGGTGGAGCGGCGGAGGAGGCGTTGAGGAGGTGGACGACGGTGACGGAGACCTTCATGCCGCTGAAGCAGAAGCCGTTGCCGCAGATGAAGTAGTAGGTCTTGGCCTGGTCGAGGGGGATGAAGTCCTTGCCGGAGCTCCAGTTGCCGGCGAGGCCGTCCATGGTGCAGTTGTCGTATCCCGTCTTGTTCACCTCGAACACGTTGTACATGTTCTTCTGGTACCTGAAGGCTGCGGCCACCAAAAGGTCAGGGTGGGGATGGAAACGGGAGGGGGATACGAAGGGCTTACAGATGAGGTCGTTGACGTAGAAGGTCTGGTTGTTGGCCCACAGCGTGTAGTTGATGTTGGGGTTCCACCCGAGGTGGCCGCCGACGATGTGGTCGGTGGCGGAGACGAAGGCCACGGCGACGGAGAGGAGGAGGAGGAGGAGGCGGAGCTGACGGAAACCCATTTGGGCGAGCTGAAGCCGTACACAGACGACAGAGCACAGTGAAGTGATATGGGGAAATAATGGCAGAGGAAGCAGGGAAGGAGGTGTAAAATTACAAACATAACCCTGCACATCATCGGCATCGCGAACGGCTCGATGGTAGCTTTAATTTGAAACGAACGGTGGATCTATTGTGCCAACTTGTCAATATCTTACCAGCTTGATTTCACGGGTCCCACGACAATCTGTGGCGATCCGCTACATCTCAGGCTGTAAAGCATACACTTACAACTCATTTCAAGCTGTAAACATACAGAGCTCACAGAGTCCAATCGCCTAAACCACATCCATATCTCAGTTACATAAATTTCAAGTTCATTACCGAATCGATGATAAAACAGAGGAAGAAAACAGATGAATTCAGGAATTCAAGAGCTGGAGGAATCAGTAGCATCACAAGAGGCTCCTTTATACTGTATTCGAAACAACGAAAACAGCAAACACACCACTCAGAAGAAGAAATTGGATGCAAAAACTATCAATCAAGACGTCGGAGAAGGTACTCCACTTCGATGTCCTTGGTCAAGGGTATAACCCACTCATCATAGAGACGAGCAACGACCGCAGGATCCACCTTGTACTTGGTTTCATCATCGAAAGTTTTGTCCTCCAAGGTTACGGTTTGCCCAAACACCATGGCTTTCTTCAGCACCCTTCTTTTGACCATCTCTTCGACAGCCTCAAACGTTAACAACTTCATCAAAGCATCCCTATCCTGCACAAGCAGCAAAGAAGAAGCAACTTCGTAATTCTAAGTGCTTTTCTCTTCGAACAGCCAATAGAAGGTAGAACCAGCTGTATCAGTGAAAGGCAACCGATACCTTCGCACAAATTGCTGTCATATAATCTTGTGGAGCATCTCTAAACTTCACCTCCGCAACATACTTGCCATAGTGGATTCTTCGGGAGAGGGCCTGGACAGACAAAATATTCTGCTGAGTGCTCGTCAGATGTATATTGTTCACAGTGACAACAGGCACAAACAAAAATTGATTTTCACCTGCAAACACACAAGATCTGCTGCCGCTGTCGATGTGTAGTTGCCATCATCTCCTTCGACAGTGAATAGCGGGAGCAAATCATTAAAATACATGTTCCAGATGGCATTATTTGCAGTAACAGATGCAGATGCTGGATGGAAGACCTACAATTGGATCATCCTGAGCACGAGTAGAACAGACATCCTAAAATGTGAGACTCAAAGTTTGATGCTCACCTCTGGGAAGTTGTAAGGAATCCCGGATGGTGCAGGAAGATCATCTGGGAAGAAAGATACCTCTTCTGGATTTTGATATCGACCGAACTGTGACACATTTAAGTGTCATTTTAGCTTATACAGATTATTAGTAACTGTGAGAAACGAAGATGAAGTTTCACCAATTAGATTAGGATTAGTATGTTGGACTGTCTGCCTGGATCATTCGATTGTATTCAGTGTGCTAGTTTGTTCTTGCAGTCAAGAAACTTTGGCCATCCAATTACAGTTCATTAATGTAGACCGTAATGCAGGGAAAAAGATAGACCTCATGATGAACCGTAAAGGGATCATCGAAAAGGCCAAAATAATGGGTTTCGGATGACATTTCAAAGTATCAGAGGGGTGGATGCTTCACTAATTTATACATAAAGAACAAGATATTTGGTAGGAAAAAAAATAATTATTATCTAGTTGTAGTCCAAATGCTTAAGAACCATGAAGAGAAGTATGAGCCCCTATCTTTCTTTCTAGCATTGCTATGCAATCACCCGTGCAACAACAGATAAAAAGTTTGGATAGCTTGTTCTTCTAAACAACCAAAGCCAAATGGCATGTTTCTCTAAACAACTCAATTCTCCCACAATCACGAGATCAAAGTTTGCTTCCAACAGGGACCAAATCATCCTATCGATTTCTCCTTAAGAATATGCCTAAAATTCAAGGATCCGATTCTCTAAGTGATAAATTTCCCCAAAAGAGGATGCCCAAATTCAAGGACTAAACAAGACCAATTTCTGACCAATTCCTCCTAAAGAAAGCACCCAAATCAAGAGGTTAGATCTTTTCATTAGATTCTAATAGTGACAAATTTCTCATACCAATGAGCAAATTTCCATGGACGAGAACCAAATTCAAGGACCAACTTCTTCTATTCTAGAAGGGACTCATGGTTGGCACCAAAGCCCACAAGCCTCAAATCGTCCTTGACCATATGTAGACTACAAGATGCTTCGAATCCAGGTTAACCCCCCATAAGCGTGGAAGGAGCTACACAGGATCTGGTCAAATGACAAAGGATCCCTTGAATGGTAAGGAATTGACACTAAATAGAAGATCAAGTGACTTCAGAAATGGAACAATTATTACCACTATAATTCTTTCTTATGGTATATGTATCTTGATCTCTTCTTTGATTCGATAGTCGAGACGCTCTCGTTGGCGAGCACATGACCTATGTGCATGCGATTCTACAGCAAATCGTGAATTGGGCGGCCAAAAGAATGAGAAAAGAGAGCAAAGACGGGACCTTTGCCTGAAGAACCTCCGCCCCTCTGGCGAAAGCCTCGACGAGGGAACGCCCCCCCTGTTGGGGGAGCAAGCACGGGTCGTACGCGGGGGCGTTGTAGGGGAACCTGGCCCTCTCGATGAGGGCGAAGACGATGGAGTCCTCCTGCCGAATCAGCGCGTCCCTCACCCATCCCAGCGTCAAATCCTGCGGCGGTGGCGCCTCCTTCTCCTCGTCCATCTCGCTGCAACGGAGGAAGGAGAGCAGAGAGTAAAGAAGAAAGGGAGAAGAGGAGGCGGCGGAGCGAGAAAAAAATGTCGTCTTTTGAGAGAAAGTGGGGAGACCTGGTGGCGGCGGTGGAGTGTTCCGTGGAAGCCATTAGCGCGTGCCGTCGGAGTCGGAGTGGCTTTCTTGGAAGCGAAGGCGAGAGATGCTGCGATTGCGGGAAGCAAGCACACGATCCTTCTCTTTTGTGACCTTCGTGCGGGACCCGCCGGTGGGGTTCTTTCAATCGCCTCACGGGTATACGGAGACCGGTTGGTACGCGGGTAAGTTTCATATGACTCTTCCACCTGAAATCATTAGATCGTTATTACGCGCGTAGCATGCATATAAACCAACAAATCATTTGTCTTCACACATAGAGAATCCGAGGAAAATAAAATAATAAGTCTTTTTTTTAGTCCAATCACTAATTAGCAAAAGTGAAAACTAATTAATCTTCTGTATTTAAATAATGTCTCGATTCTTATATTAAAATATTTATATTAAAATTTTTATAATTATAAAAATAAAATATTTAACTCTATTTATCTAACTATCATCGATTTCACTAACGGAAGATACAGCACATGTATGAATGATATGAAAACGATGAGTAAAAAGATATATTCAATAATGATGATAGATGATGACACCATGGTGGTTGTTGTAATAGTGGTCGACGAAAGCGACATAATAGTCGAGGAGGAAGAGGAGGGAAGTGAGACAGAGCGGTGAGACATCTACGTTGTTATCGGAGGAGGAAAGTGAGGCATCTACATCAACAATGCACTACTCAATCTCATCTTCCTCCTCTAGTACCGCTTTGCATCTCATCAACATTGAAAGAGGAAGAGAAAGATGAGATACGTGATGCATTTGCATCGCTAACGACAAAGAGATAGGAGGAAAAGGCAAGTAAGGCAAAGTGGTGCGACGCTACAGGAGGAAAAAAGAGGCAAGTGAGACATTTGCGTCGACATTGTACTACTCTACATCCTCTTCCTCTAGTGTCATTTTATATCTCCACCACCTTTGTAGAAATTATCATTTTTATGTTATTCATGCATGTACTATATCTTACGTCAGTAAAACCGATAACATTACGATAAATGAGATTAAATATTTCACTTTCATAACTATAGAGATTTTAATATAAATTTTTTAAATCTAAAAACTGATATGCTAAGGAGGTTTGACTGTGAAGAAAGTATCGAAGGATATCGACACTAGTTTTATAAGACGTTAAGATCTTAAAATTAGTCGTTTAGAATCGAACCATCTCATTGTCAGGATTTTATCTTTGATCTATTAACTTATTAAACCATTAAGTCAAATCAAGTATTTGCTTGTTTTCATAGGATCTGCATCGTAAGATTTGCCCTATCTTGGTTTGTTTCACATGCTACATGTTTATGTAGGGGAAAAAGAAAATATGAGACGAGGAAAAGGATTCAAAGAGTAGGGGAAGGCAAGGATGAATCAGGTTCTCCTAATTCTTAGACAGTGCCAACCTGCTCCTAAGAAATGATGAGGTCAAACCACACAACATGCACAACAACGAAGCCACTAACCAAATCCCAACATTTGGTGTGCCACCACTACCTAATCCTTCTCAAAGTAGAAGACAACACATCATATAGGGTAGGAGGAAAGCATCTTCCAGAATTGCCTACCAATCAAGAGCAGTTCTGCATTGACTGCTGAATCACAGAGAAAACAGTATACAAGCTGTTGTGTGGAAAGACGACATATAATTTGCAACTATAACACTGCATAAGATGTTTAAAGTATGCTGATCAAGATCTTGAAACATCTTTTATATTATTAATTCATGACAAGTGTTGACACCTTGTGTGCCGAAAAGGAACATTTATTGAACAAAAGCTATCAGCATTGCAACCTAACCATGTCAAGATTAATAGTCAGCAGCTCACACTTGACATTAAAACAGCATTTTGAACCATATTGGCAAAAGATACAAAAGATAATACAGCAACTCTGCAAGTTGCTCTGCTACAAATTTTGAAGGCAGGCACAGAAGCTAATTCGTGTGGTTTTAGAGAGAAACCAAGTTATAAGAAGTTAAGAGAATATGACCTGAGCATTTCCATCTTACTATGTTGGCATGATGTACTGTGAACCATATTGGCCAAGAATTAGCTCAAGACCAGTATACACCTGAACTGAATTCTACGATTCAATGCATAATAGTGACAGGTTCGACATCCTTGAGGAGACCAACAATCTGGTGCATGGATGGCCTCTTTGGTGGCAAGTCGGCTGTGCATAGATAAGCAATTCTTAGTGCTTCCTCCATTTGTTTCTCTGGTCCTGTTTCACGAATCTTTGGATCAATCAATCTCGAGTACTCATTTCTCCTCACCAGATCCCTTGCCCAATGGACCAAAGTAATCTCCTTGTCTTCGGAGTATTCATCTCCGATCGGTTTCTTCCCTGTAATAAGCTCGAACAGCACAACCCCAAATCCATAAACATCGGTTTTTGTAGTTGCCAACGTGTTTTCTAACTCAGAGAATTCCGGAGGAGTGTAACCCGGTGATCCTCGCGACATATCACCCTCCATGCTATTCCCCACTATTCTTGATAATCCAAAGTCAGCTAACCTAGACTCCATCGCCGAATCAATATAAATGCTACTTGCCTTCACATCTCTGTGAACTATTGGAGGGAAACATCCATGGTGAAGAAATGCCAATGCCCTTGCAGCACCTATTGCAATTTTGTGTCTGAATCTCCAAGTTGTCATTCCTTCAGTGGTAATACTCTGTATGCCAGCATTATCTTGTTCCCATGTATCACTGGTCCAATCTTCGGTCGATTGCAGGCCCAGTGGTAAATCATGGAGTAGATTCTGTAGGTTTCCGTTCTCCATGTAATCATATATAGCAATCCTTTGATCCCCAGCCAAACAGTAACCGGTTAAGGACACTAAATTGGGGTGTTTGATCTGACCAAGTCGCTCGAGCTCTTTCGCAGCTTCCTGATCTGTCACCATTGATCCATGAACCAAAACCTTCATGGCTATATGAATGCCTCCAGGTAGAAATCCTCGGTAGACAGGTCCATACCTTCCTTCAGCCAACAAGGTTCCTCTGTCGAAATGGGATGTCGCGCTCAAGAGGTCAGCAAAGGTAAAGTTCAGTAACGGCTTCTCGAAGATGACAACAGGGACAGAGGTAGCAAGCTTGACGTCGGCAACCCAAGTTGTCGAATCCGTCTGAAAGTAGAACGGACCAGAAATGTTCTGTTCCTCCCGGTATGACGGTTGCTTGACTGTCCAGGATGGCGTCCTCTTTCGAAGAGCCAGGGCGAGGCTGATCAACCCTGCTAACAAAAAGAACAGTGACAAAGCCAAAGCCAAAGCCAATCCTAACTTGAGATCCTTGTGTTTGTTATCCACAGATCCAATACCATCCGGGTTAACTGCAATGGGGCAGTCACTCTGTGACCCGATGAATGATGATTCCAGTGTTTCAGGTGAAAATTTCATACCACAATAAGTAAGGTTGTTGTAGGAGAAGTTGAAATTTTCCATCACGGGTAGCTTCTGCTGCAAGGACTTTGGGATTTCGCCTGTGAGATTGTTCACCGAAAGATCTATCCCTTGCAGGTTCTTGGTGCTTAGCTCAGGTATGTTGCCGGTAATATGATTCCGGGAAAGGTCCAATACCTTCATGTTAAGCAACCGAGAGATCCGAGGCGGAATTTGGCCGGTGAGATTGGCTTTCGACAAGTTCAAGTACTCCAGAGAAGATGGCATTTCTAGGAGATGAAACTCCTGGCTAGAGAACTTGTTAAATGCGAGATTAAGATGCCTTAGTGAACTCAAGTCCTCCAGACCAGGGAAGAAGTACCCGGTGAGTTCGTTCATCGACATGTCAAGATAAACCAGAGAAGACCAACTGGAGACGGAGCTGTGATGTACTTGAGAGATGAGGCCATGAAACTGGTTGCGGCTCAGGTCCATCACCTGCAGTGGATCCCGGAACACCCCGAGGGCCAGTTCTTGCAAAAGATTGCCCGAAAGATTGAGATAGGTGATCGAATCCAACCCGGATAAATCCGGCATCTTCCCACTTATCTCGTTTTCGGAAAGATCCAGAGTGCTTAGGTTCTTGAAGGCAACACCAAATCCACCAGGCAAACTCCCGCTTAATCGATTGTGAGAAAGATCGATCGCGACCAGAGAGGTGCATCCAAGAATCGCAACGGGAATGCTCGCCTCCAATAAGTTTCTGCTGAGATTGAGGACCACCAAGCTCGACAGCGAGCCCACCTGCGACGGGATCTCGCGGGTGAACCAGTTGTGCGAGAGGTCGAGGCTTTCCATGAGCTTGAAGTTGCCGAGGTTGCTCGGAAGCGGCCCCGTGATCTTGTTCCAGGAGAGGTTGAGGCTCCTGAGCGAGCTACCCGGTTCCGCGAAGTCCAAAGACAGCCCGGTGATGTTGTTGTGGCTGAGATCCAAGACCCGGAGCTCGCTGAGCTTACCGATGGTGGATTCAGGGATAGGACCGGAGAAGCCGAAGCCGGAAGCCACCAAGCTGACGACCCTCTCCTGGCCGTCGCAGGAGACGCCTCGCCATGAACAGACTCGGGAAGAACTGCCTTCGGCAGAGGAAGGCGCCACCTTCATCTTCCGGAAGAAATCAGAGACGAAGAAGGCATCCGTGTTGTTCGGATGCTGCGAGGCCAAGCACCTCAGCAGCAGAGAAATGATCAAGGAGAAGGCAAAGACGCCGGTGCCCATCGGAGGGAAAGGCCGAGAGAAGAATTTGGCTTTTCCTCTTCCTTCCTCCTTGCCTCCAAACTCTCTCTGCGAACTCAAAAGGAGGCACACCTTCTTAGGACGATGAAGTGGCAACCTTTAGACATAAAAGAAACTCCATCTTTGAAGCACCTCGAGGTCCCAAGCCTCCGCTGGCGCCTCTGAGCTCGGAAAAAATGGAGCTTTTTTGTTCTTTTGGGCAGAGCGTGGGAGCTCATTGTTGTCTCGACATGGAGGCTAATGCATAGACGACAAGGACAACACGGGCGCAGCTGCAGCCTTTTGTCCTGCGAAAGAGCACGACAAGTGATTCCTCTGTCTTTCTATCACATGAGAGAAGAGAGATAGAGAGAGAGAGAGGGATCAGCAATTATAAGCAAGAGATGGGTAATAAATCAAGGGTAGTGAAACTAAAGGTGTTCGAGTCGGAAACTATTACTGCAGTTGGTATTTTGAGGCACAAACATCAAACAGTCACGTTAGAAGCTCAAAGCATGTGTTTGGGGGAAATCTGAGACACCCAAATCCAAACAGTGCCGTCGTTGGATTCTAATTACTTGGCAATGTAATAGAACCACGACAATCCAAGTCTACCGGTTGCGTTATTACAATCGATCCAAACAAATACCAGAAGTGAAGTCATCCTTGCAAACAGCACCAACACACAATCATACAAACACTACAATCCTACCTGCTACATGAACATCTAATGCATTCAGCAAGAACACAGGATGTTGAATGGTGATGTGTTGATATCTTCCTGTGGATCGAGACCCAACCACAAGGAGGTGAGTGAAAGGGGCGTACCGGAGTTGTACTAAGGTGTACGAAAGCCAAACAGCAAACAGTGTTTCCCGCCCTCGTGAGCACCGTAACGTAGCTTCCACCGCTCCGCCGCCCGCTTCGCAAACATCAAACGCACCATAAAAGTTCTGAGCCCGACGCCACCGACATCCCAAACGTACGTAACTCCGTGCTTGCGCAGCCTAAGCTTGGCCTTCTCACACACGACACTTTGAGGACCAGAGTTGATGGCTGTGCGATCGGGTATTCTCGTCGATAGAGCAGTTGACATCTCAACTGTCCGCAGCCAAAGAACACTGACAATAGATGCAAATCCTAAAAAGAAAGTGGGGGAGGAAGAAGCTAAAGATCAACACCATTTCGGTGGGGATTAGACCAAAAGGAATCAATCAGCCAACAAACCATGTTTCCATCCATGCTAGATTGTGAATTCAAAAGTTCCAAGCCACCAACCGGAGAAAATTTTGACAATCTGTAAATGGAACATGTCATGTTTGTGATTCTCTGATTTTTAAAACCATATTCTGAAAGAAAAAAACTCAAGCATAAATTTTAATCCGATAACAAAACATAATCATATCAAGTAATATGCAGCCGCAGAATTATGCATTAGAGAAAAATAAAGGTTGGATATTACAAGTTACATTCAAACATGAGCAAAGTAGAATGTAGTTTTCTCCAAATCTAATTTTTATAAATTCAGCAAGATCGGGCAATAGAATTCTTTGGGATCAATGTCAAATCTACAATACTCGGAAAATTTGTGAAGCATCGCATGTTACTATTCACATATGAGATGACCGAGTGCTGGGAAGAGGTGCATATAAAAGGGAAAAGGAAGCCTAAGGAAGGCAACATATAAGACAATATACTGGCAGAACGAGCTTTACCTGCAGAACCATGTAGAAAGAGAATTTTGTTATTGCGCTATCTCCGTATCTGGGATTTCTGATACTTCCCTTGTTCTTCAAGCTGATACTTGACAGCACTATATCTGAAGAAGAGGATACAGTGAAGAGAAACACTAGGTAATTTGGCATTACCGAGAATAAAATACTTTGTCAGGGTAGTGAACTGACACATAGAATTGGTGTGATTTAGTTTGCTCTGATAAATAGCTACAACAACGATTTTGGTTGAGTTGCAATTCTTTCTTGCAATTTGCGTATTACGACAGATACAACAAAGGTACAAAAATAGACACACAAGTGGCAAATTTAAACATCCCAAAGAAATGCAAAGTCCTGACAATATCTACGGAGGATGAATTCAATCTAGTGAAACTAATCAGAACAAATGGAACTAAATCCAATTTGATGAAATGAAACTGATCATAATCTCGGACTGGCCAGGTTTTGGAGCATATAATGATTAATTCACATTGTTTTCTGTGGTTCGCCGATAAATCAGAGACACCAAGATCTCTTGAACTGATTCTTTTTGCAAATATGAAATCGTTGTAAACTCAAATACAAGGAAAAAAAATTATCTACACTTATGAAGCTCAGGTGGTTGCTCGGTTCAAAATTTTATCACAAGTGGCAAGATTTGCAACACGAATCGCCAAAACAGAAACATGTCAGTCAGACTTTATCCTTATAATCACAAATAGAATTGTTCTCATGCTATGATTCTGATATAACCAGCCTTGAGTTGTTAATTACATGCCGAAACTAGAAAGATGACATATAGTTTTCCAGAAACAGAATAAAAGGGGCGGCAGAGTGTATGATATTCATGTCAGTCAATGGACAGTTTTACGCCTGCAAACATCGGAGACAGAATGAAAGTTGTATTTGAACGACCATTCAGGTTCCACTAAATTGGAAACAATGGCTTCCTTGATGATGATCATTGAAAAAAATAGTTCAAACATACATGAACAAATTCGCATATGTTGTAGAATTAATTTTCATTGTAATTCCTTCTATTTACAGCATAACATAGATCTAACATTCTATCTACACCTTCATGAAGAACCATCCAACTTGTTCTTTAGGTTTGGCTTTCAGAACTGTGCCGGTATATATTAATGTTATGTTTTAAGTTAACTATCAATAGGATTTACTTCCTTGATGACTTTAACATGTTCGGCAAGTCCTAGCGACGAACACAATTCTACAAAGTACAAAAGGTCGATTGTTGGTATAGGAAAGCGTACAGCATGTAAAGGATAAACGGTCAGTGTTAACTGAGAGGATCAAGTTTCCAGACAAACCTATAAGTTTACTCCATTGATGCCTTTCTCATATCCTGCATGACCCAGTGGAGAACTCAATCCTACAAAGAACAAAAGTTAGGTAACTCATATAGGAAAGCACACAGTAGTTGGTATAAGCACTTCAGAATTTGAAAGTCCTCAGGCTTTGCATGTACATACACAGAGAAACACAATAGCCATATAATGAAAAGTACAAATTAGAGATTTAGACAACAGGTAAAACTTTTCTAAAATTAAAATGCTGTACTCATGCCAAGCACTTGATGTAGCTTCCGTATCACAAAATTTCCAGTGATATGATAACATGCAATTAGCATAATATTTTTCTACTGAGGACATCCCAATATACCATTCATACTGACAGAAAGGCACCAGAAATTGAACCAAATGAATTATAATAGACTGACAAGTGTATGTTAAATACCTCTATACTGTCCCTGAAATCACTAGCATGGTAAATACCTACAGAAAGCATGAAAGTTTGCATACAAAATGTGCAGGCACCTTAACTAATACAGTATGGTAAAGCCCTAAATGTATGGGATGGTATTCCAATGAACTAAGCATCCGAGAACCATAATCACTGTAAATAAATAATTTTCATATTAGAAAATGGCAGGTGATAGCTGACAAAACATATGTTCAAACAAAAAGAAGGATTATCTGGAATGATTATGCGTTCTGCCAATTGGGCACATATTAGAACTTCGGTGGATGATGCTTAAACAATAGATGGGTTGGGTAGCCAAATAAGTTCAGAGGTACCGTTGCTCGATTATATTAGTGAAATAATATTTTAACATCACTACATTAGAATGTTCATACATGGATTCTAGCATTGATCCAGACATGATAGTTAAAAGTTACACCACAAATTTTATTGAAACAGGATTTATTTTGGGTCTCAGTGCCAGAACTTAGATAATTCTATTTTAACTCAGTTGGATGGGTAATGGCTAGATCTAAACCTACAGAAGATAAAGTCTTCAATGTCTTGTTGAAAATAATTCCTTAATTCTTGATTCTAGACAATAGGTACTTCTCCTTCCTGATTCTGTCATATTAGTATATGGAAGGTTGACAGATGGAGACTTGTGATGCCATCTAGAGTGCAAGAAAAATTGAAACCTCTTATGTGACCATTACATAAGGCAAGGTTGACGATAAATTAATAATATACAGTGGAAATGAATTCCTATTTCATCGATCTGATAGCTGTGCAACTTGAACAATCAGACTACAAATCACCTTTCTTCAAATGCAAGTTTATATAAAGCAAGGATGGAATCACAAGCTCTGCATCACCAGCCATTTCAATTGCATGAACATAAAACCTGGCCGGCAAAGGTGGATCTACACCAAGAGCCATGTGAACTTCTCAATCTTCACAAGGGTAGAACAGACTGGTCTCTCTATGTAGAATAATACTTGGTTTCGTTTAATATTTTAGGAGTGAATATGACCAGTATTAATTCCACCTCTGATGATTGCAGTATAAAATTGTTATGATAATGTCACGCTCTTAATCAGTATGAATTTGACACCTAAAACCTTTATGGAATGCCAAAAAACCATTATAGGGTGTTGAGATTTTTCTTGGGTACTTTGGAGATCTGCTGATGCATAGAGTGCAGAACCAGGGCAGATGAAACAAGGAATTTGTTTGACTGCTAAAATTTTTATATTTATAATTTATATCATTTGCGACACTTTTGACATCAAACTCACAATTGAAGTCCCAAATATTTATAGACATTCATAAATTTTGGAAAAGAAAAACACAAGAGAAGAGATTTAACATATTAGGCGACAGTATTGGTTAATAATCATGTACACACAGTTGCTATGTGTTCAGAAACTAAGATTATGGATTAATAAATTTTGTCATGAAATTCCGACTACAGAATTAAGAATTGAAACAAGCAACTTAACCCTTCCATCGAAATTGATAATGCCATATGCATTAAAAATATCATCAAACTAGAATTGCAAAAGACTACAGAGAATTATTGTATAGGTTAATCGGTGATACATATTGACATAAAAGTTAAGAATACTGGAGAACAATGAAGAAATAAACTTAAAACCAGGAGAGTCATAAGTGATTAAAAATAGGATTTGTGTCTGAAAGAAAAACAAATTGGGATGTGAATACCAAGATCCATAGCTCTCTAATTAATATAGGCTCATACAATCAAAACTGGTCATTTTCAACCACAACCAGTGAAAGGTATTGAGACCAATGAAATTGATCAATATAAGCTGAAACGTGCCAGACACAAGTTAAATCATAACAGCAAATTCAATAGAATAATTTAAACCAATATTGTTCAATAGTAGAAGTGGATGTCACATGAAAGAATAAATAATTTGAGCAATTCAAATGAAACTCCAATAACTGATGACAAAAGAAAGTTGCATATGATGTCTGGATCTGAAGCATTTATATAACATCTCTACAGTTGCATTGATTTGTATTCATTGTTTAGTAAAGAAGTTAATGTTTGCTTAAAGCAGTTTTACTACAATTTACATGGGAAAGATTTGAGTTGTTGATACTGGCTCCAAGTTTATCAAATGCCTGGATGATGGGATGATGCAGTCAATGATGCGTATTTAATTCTCCTAAATTTCAACATAATAAATTCTCAAGTTATCAAGAAGATGGTTTGTTTCTTGCAAAAACTATTAAAACGTACAAAGCATCAAGAATTATTGATGTATTATAATTTGTACTTGACTTTTAGAAAATTATGATCAATTAACTAGGTGGCTGAATGATTTAATGCACAAACCATATAAAAGGGGAGGAGAGGAAAATTAGTAGGGTATTTAGTATTTGAAATCATATCAAACTTTTGTATCTTTGAACTACTAATCTTAGTCATCTCTTAAAAAGACAGAGTTCTCTTTTATTCTCTCATATTTCACTTCTTTTTCTCAGCCCCTTATCTTTTCTTCCTCTTGATTCACATTATTTGGTGTCAAAGTCTTCCTATGCCAATGGAATTCTTTCTTCTTATGACAACCGGAAAAGACAAGGGTAACATGGTGAATGAATGATGCAACCAAATAGAGATAAAAGGGATGCATAAATCGAAGCACTGTAAAGATAAATTTGCACCTTGAGCGTCAAAAAATCCATGGCTCTAGAGACTCAAGCTATGGTTATACAATGATAAATTCAAAGACGTGAATCATTTTCCATCTAGAGAAGTTCTAGGAGACTCATCCATGGAGAGGTTTCTTCGTGCAAATGACAACATCAAGATTTACTTATCGGAGTTCCATGGTCAACTTCAACCTGAAAAGTTTTTTTATTAGCTTAGTGTCGTTGAGAAATTCTTTGAGTACAAGAAGACCATAAGTAAAATGAATTACTACAAGACTTCGATATTATACTTTAATATGATAGGATAAGGTGCAAAATATGCATCTTCAGAAAGGAAAGATCAAGATTTTTATCTTGGACAAAGATGAAATCTCTTCTCCATGAGAATTTTCTTCCATTTCATTATGTTCAAACTCTGTTTTTACAATTTAGCAATCTATAACAAGCTAGCAAAACCATCATCGACTACACTAAAGAATTCTACAAACTGATGGTCTGAATAAGATTATAAGATGAAAAAACAACTCATTATAATATATGTTGGCAGCCTATGAGCTATGATTCGGGATGTAGTGAAGATGTAACAATCGGAGGTTATATGATACTTATCAATTAGCACTAAAAGTTGAAACAAAACTTGTTATAATGCTAGTGGATCAAAAACTAGCAAAATCATAAAAAATGCATCTAAGCTAACTCCTACCAGTCATGAAGAACAATTTATTCGCACTAGTCACATTCCTACTTCATATGCAAATAAGTTGGGTATTAGAGTGCCCAAATAGATGAGCTGATGCACACATCAACTTTGCCAAAAAAAAGAAAATGCCAATGAACAACTTAAAGATCTTAGAGAACCAAAATATGATGAAGACCTAGAGGAGGCTTCTAAAGAAATTGCACCCGAAGAAAATGAATGTTTGATAATTCATAGAGCGTTTGCTACTCAAGAGATAATTCTAATGAAGAATAAAAATGAAATAATATTTAAGACATGCTACAAGTCTCAAGGCAATTATTTTGTTATTAATGTTGGCAGTTGTGAAAATATTGTCTCGAGATATGATAGACAAGCTCAAGCAAAAGATACAACCACATCCAAAACCATATCAGATTGCATAATTCAAAAATAGCAATGAGGTATGAGTGAGTAAATTATGCCTATTTTCCTTTTCAATAGGCAAAAACAAAAAGATAATATGTGGTGTGATGTAGTACTAATGGATATTAACCATATACTCTTGGGAAGACCATGGGAACATAATAGGTGTGTTATCCGGTAGAAAGAACACCTATACTTTTAAATTAAATGAAGTTAGAATTGTGCTTTTGCTATGGAAAGAGGAGTTTGCTCCCAGACCTTTAACCCAAAGATAGGAAAATAACTTCCTCACCTTAAATAAGTTTAAAAGAGAAAATGAAGTTGCATTTATGTTAGTTGCTAAATAACACATGTAGCCAAAATTTAAAGACATTAGCTTTGAAGAATTTCCTAGTGCCTACCTCCTCTTCCAGACATTCAACATTGAATTGTTCTAATTTTAAGAATAATCTTGCTAAACAAATCTCACTATTGGATGAGTCCTAAAGAACATGAAGACTTGAATAGACAAGTTATGGACCTACTACACCAAGGTTATATTTAGAAAATTTTGAGTCTATGCATCGTTCTGGTTCTATTAACTCCAAAGAAGGATGAAACTTAGCCGATGTGCGTTGATAGTCGAGCTATCAACCAAATCACTATCAGATTCCCTATTCCACGTGTGGAGGATATATTTGATATTCTTGTTGGCGCATAATTTTTCTCCAAAATTATTCTCAGAAGATGTTGTCACCAAATTTGTATGAAACCAAGGGATGAATGAAAAACCATGGTATGCAATTTCGAATGGTACCGCCCGGTACGGGTGGTACGTATCGGTCCGATGGCATACCGGTACGCGGACCATCCGCTACCGAACGGACTGTGCGATCGTGCTACAGTGCTACCGTTCGGTACAGTGCTGCAGTAAGAGGAAATCGCTCGGTAAGTCCTGGTGTACCGTTCGGTACGCCCTGGTGTACCGCTCAGTATGTCGGTACCGTACCATACCGAGCCAACCTCGAAACACCGGTACGGTACGGTATTGCATACTTTGTGAAAAAAACTTCCAAGATTCAACAACTTTCAAGACCCAATCTTGAAATTGATCCCACAACAAAGTATATTGATACATTGTATGTCATTAATACAACAATGTCATGATGGTTGTAGTTTAATCATCATGAATCACATGTGTCTGAGAAGATTATGAGATGATTGTCACATGTATTAGTGCGAAGAATAGAGAATATTAGAAGTTCTATTTTCATCACTAATCTACCACTCCATATCATAAGATTGATCATCATACTACTACTCGAAGAAGAGTGACCAACTATCCTCATCCTGTTGTTGGCCGTAAGATTATCCATAATACGACAGTTGTAAATATGATGAGCTTTGCTATGTGTTAAAATAAGTTAAAAAAGGGGGAAGGACTATTTGAAATAAGATAATCTCAGCCTTTAATCAGTAATGGTCAAAATCGAACCATTATCAATATGGACCCCACATCGCTCAATACGGGGTCATATAACATGTAATGCTCGATATAGGATGATCCGCATATCAATCCCCTATCGGACCACTACATACCGTTCGTACTAGGTGGTGTACCACGGTACAACGAACCTTATTCCTATCAACCTTAAAAGGAAAAAAAAGCTATATGTAAATTTCAATAAGTGCTCATTCATGAGAAGATTAAAGCTATTCAAAGTTGGCCAACACCAACAACCTTACAAGATGTTCGAAGTTTTCATACGTTGGTATCCTTTCATCATCGATTTATTCAAAATTTAAGCACTATTGTAACCCTTTGATTAATTGTATAAAGAAAGGAGTGTCTCAGTGAACACCGAGGCAAACAATAATTTTGAACCATAAAGGGTGAAATTATTAACTGCTCCCCTTCTTGCATTATCGGATTTTTCTAAAATATTTGAAGTTGGTTGTGATATCTCTCATGTGGGTATTTGTGGAGTACTTAACCAAGAAGGCAACCACTTGTATTCTTTAGTAAAATCTTAGAAAGAACTATTCAACTTATGATATTGAATATTATGTTATTATTCAAGCACTTGGACATTAGAGACCCTATTTAATTCAAAGAAAATCTTAAATTCTGATCAAGAAGCTCTTAATATATAAATCCTCATGCAAATCTCGATAAATAATATTCAAGATGATTAATATTTTTACAAGAGTATAATTTATTTTAGAGCATAAAAATAGAATACGTAATAAATAGTAGATGCTCTTAGTCAACAATTGGTGCATCCCAATACTATGTGTGCTCAACTAAAAATAATTTAATACAATAAGAAGTACTTACCTTAATCATGAAGATTTTTGTAAAATATAAAAGTTATGCATTAGGAGTCATAATGAATATTATATTATCGAAGATGGTTTTCTCTTTTGTAAAACTCAACTTTATATTCCTAAATATTTTCTGAGAGAACATATTATCAAAAGACTATAATTTGTGGATTGAGATATCCTTTTGAGAGAGACAAAATAGTCCTTATCAAAGCAAAATATTTTTGGCCTACAATATGCTAAGAAATTACATGTTATAGGAAGTGATGCAAATTGTGTCAAACCTCAAAAGGATAAACTCAGAACCTTGCTGCATAAACACTTTTACCAGTTCTCAATGCTTTGTAGAAAGATAGATTGAGTAATCTACTATGATGCTTCGTTGCAAAAAAGCCAAAACAATGAAATATTATGCTACCTCACGTTGAATTTGCTTATAACACTATGATTAATCATTCCACCATCAATTGTTCACTGGAGATTGTTTAGTATCATATTTTATCTCCTATCTAGACGTTACTAAAATACCTGAATCACCTTTATTAAGTCAAAAGAGAGGGTTTACCTATTACCATAACAAAAATTCATGAAGAAATCAGAAAGAAGCTTAAAGCTAGCAACCAAGTTTACAACAACAAAAAAAAGAACAATAAGCATCATCATGTGAAGATCTTTGAAGGAGGAGATCTTGTTTCGGTCTATTTGAAAAAAAGAATATTTTTTAACAAGAATTTACAATAGACTAAAGAAAAAAGAAAATTAACCCCTTGCAAAGTTCTCAAGAGAATTAATGATAATGGCAATGCTTAAACTTCCTCCCAATGTTCACACTTACACTGCATTCAAAATCAAGACTTATCAATTTATCATAAAAAAAATGATTAGAAAAATTCTTTCTCACCTAGGGAGGATGACGTAGTGCATAATGAGCATTGAATTCTCCCAAATTCTAACATAATAAATTCTCAAGTTCAAACTCATCAAATTTTAAGAAAATCATTTGTACCTTGTAAAGACTATTAAAACTTAATTATGTATTACAATTTATGCTTGATTTTTAGAAAATTATAATTTATTAATTGTGTGGTTGAGTGATACACTATACAAACTATCTATAAAAGGAGAGGAGAGGAAGGTTGATATGATATTCTAGTTTGAAACCATATCAAATTTTGTATCTTTGAGCTACTAGCTCTTAGTCATCTCTCGAAAAGAGAGCTTTATTTTATTCTCTCATATTTCACTTCTATTTCTCACCCTTCTTTTTCTTTCTCTTGTTTCACATCAAATTTTCTATCTCTCAAAACCTAATATCAACAAAAATCTACAAGCCAACATGTGCACATGTCATATGATAAAAAAAAATCCTTGGGTCTAACCTTGCATCAATATAACAAAGAGTGGGGACTCCTTTAGATAATCCACGCAGACATACAAAGTTGATCATAACTGTTGGCATAAACTATATCTTCCAAAGGACAAAACTATGAATATTGCCAAAAAGAAAAACAAACCATCACCTTCATTACGAGTAATAGATCTCCATGTGAAAATCATGAATTATAGGTGACTTACTCATGTAGGCTCCTACTTGGTGGTTTCCTCAGGAATCATTTGGGATGTGCACAAACATGGAACCAATCTGTCCATAGAAGCACTTTTCTCTACAACACCCAAGAAATTTATTAACTGAAAACTAAAACAATCATGTCAATAAGTCTGATCCCAAGCTCAAGGACTATCATGCACCCATGATCCCCAATTGGATATGTCATCTAGTTCCTAACATTAACATATGAAATTTAGTTTGTCTGGTCTCCTTTTCTCAAAAGAAAATGTTTGTTCAGCAAACATTGTCAAGAAGATAATAGATCATTGTAATTGAAATAACCAAATGCTAAGTTTGTCTGACAGTAACCAAATGTAATTACCTGTGGTCGCTGGATGTGCTTCTGTTTAGTCTTCGTTTAACGTCACCACCATTCACTGGAAATTATATTCCATTAGTACAGCAGAAGAAAGCTGATGTATATATGTCAAAAATCTGACTTTGTGCATATAAAGTAAGTCTAAATATCATGCTAGTGAACCCGTAGATGGTAATAACAATGATGCTGTCATAGTAATTCTACTAGCCATTTCATCATTCACAGTGATCCATAGGCCTCACATTTTGGTAGAGCCATAACCTTGGACTTTATATCCTTTAATTTAAGGTACAATAGTGCTTTTAAACTCATTTAAGCATAGTATGCCTGACTCTACCACTGTTAACATCAACAATCATCTGGATGTTGTAGGATGGGAAAAAGCAAAACTAGACAATGGAATAGGGGATTATATCTTCAAAGTAATCAAATTGAACCAATATCAAGTCATTTTAACTGTCTTATGGCTTAGACTTCACCTCAGGTAAACAGTGACTCACATTGAACAAAAGAGAATCACCCCCTTACCGGAAACAAGCTAAACTATCAAAGACATGATCCAAAACAGATCATAACCAATGATGCTACAAAAGATGAGATCATTCTGAGGGTAACTTGAAAAGAAAAATATATGATGAGGGAAAACAGTTTAATATAGGATAGTCCAGAACACACCTACAGATGGCCGGGTCAAATGAGGTATGTCAAATAAGATTAATAGTGTGAGGACAGATAAGATGAGGACCTAAAAGAAACTTCATCTCAAACAAATAAAATTATATTACTGCTCTTAGTTTAATTAGGATATTGAAATAAGCAAAGCTCGATGGTACAAAAAGATCAATTTAATTAACCCATAAAAGTATGAAAACTATGGCTTGTATTCTTAATTCTTAAGTGCAACATTGGCACTATGACCTCCATTATGTTAAGTCCTGTGACAAAGAAGATTTCTTTCATGGAAGGATTTAGAATCAAAGGCACAATCATGTGGCACCTTATTGGCTTCATGATAAGCATAGCCCGACTAAAGAAATATTGAGATGGAGGTTGGATGCACCAAGTGGTCCACTGCAGGTTCATTTTGATAAATGACAACATGAACATCATTTTTCATGGGATGGACTGTCTCAAGACATGTTAGATTTTATCTACCATAGCTGCACCTATGGATAGCAATTATCCACTCACAATATCCAAATCATCATGATGAGGTGCATCCCAGCTACCAATAATGGCATCCAAGCAAGGTAATCCGGATATCTAAAAGAAGAGAAGGTTCAATTGTTAAAGTTGATGAGAGCATATGAATGTTTGGCCTTGAATTCACCTTATATATGCCTCTTTGTTTTATGGTTACAGACATAAACAAGGGATATAAGTGTGTATTAGTACACTAACCTATCCAAGCTAGAACATTGCTTTCCATTTGTCATGCCATCAAGAAAAGATTATGGTAAAAAGAGGACGAGCTCCATGGTTCTTCTCATAACATTGCTTTCCATCGTGCATACCTTAAGATTCTAAAACTCCTTCAGAGGTATATGTTCCATGTCATAGGCATGGAATTTATAGATACCAACTCTATATTTCTGGGTTGCAACCAAGAGTTTAATAAGATCCATCTTTGTACGGTCAGGCGGGTCCTGTTATATTCGAACAATTCCTATTACATTTCTCTTCCACTTGGAAATTGCTTGCTGCTAAAGCATCCAATCAAGACAAATCCAGTTGAATAATTTGCTTTAACGATCATATCTCGAACCTAAAACCCTGATCCAATAAACACATACTTCAAGATCCTAAATTTAGCTTCTTCATCTATAATGCACAAGATCCAAGAACTGCACCATTTCATGATGAATCTTATGTTGTAATCTGTAAAAAAATCATATTATCATAATCTGATTCATCGGACTAACAATAAACCATTTTAAGTGGTATAACAAACTGAAGCAACAAGAGAAGAAGAGAAGAATGTCTAGCCAGAAAACCTACCACCAGAGTGAAGAAAGCAGTAGAAAAGTCATCTTCTTCCATTGTTTCAAAAGAATCAGTCAACCTACCACGAGGAATTGTAGACCACAGGCAAAGGTGATATTCCAAAACCAAAACATAAAGAAAAAAACTAGTGGGGACAGAGAAAACACTAAGCACAATGACGTTTTGTGGTAACAGCCTTCCTAAAGGAGAGAGAGAGTGGTGGGCAGAAGGGAGAACGACAGCCAAGAAAAAGGAAAAATATCGACCACAGATTATTTCCAGTCAAAAGCGACACCTTCGTGGACTAAGCTGGTGCAGCGATGATGCCACCGTCAAACTGGGATTCAACGACAAAAGATCATAAGCACCTACAACATGCCAGATATGGGAATGCCAAGAAACACCGCTTATCTTCGCACTCCATCGGCCCAACAAAGGCATGGGGAGAAACAAAGTCGAAGATGGTGAACATGAGCAACACTTCCCAAACCAAGCATCGACTACTCATCGGTCGTTATAATCGTCAACAGAATCATCAAGAAGAAACTCTAGTGCGCCATTATCCGAAATAAGCTCTAAGGTTGTCATAACAGGGAAACATCGCTTACGGATCATGGCGTGTAATGAATCTTTCTTCAACTCAGCAAAGCAACGACCGATGAGTGCGGCGAGGTAATGGTCTAAGAAAGGGGGCAAAGAGTTAGAAGGAAGAAGACATACTGGGAACTCATGGCGTGTCATCAAGACTGAACCTTTCTCCGACGTGGTGAAGCAACCGTGGAAGACGGTAGAGATGAACTTCGAGATCACCTTCCCTCCACAAATCCCTACAGCTTCATCCCATCTTCCTTTCCGAGATACTCCAAATCCTGTCCAAAACAGGCAAAAAAAAAAAAGAGACAAGGAAGAGGGAGAAAAAAAGGGCAAGCAAACAACAAAGAAGACAGAAGAGAAAGAAGGGCAGGACGTGTCAAACAGTGGCTCCCGTCAAGGCCGCACACTCTGTTGAATGAGAGGCCTAGTGTACTCTCCCCTCTCTCTCTCTCTCTCTCTCTCTCGCTCGAATCCAACCCACGCAGAGACGGACAGTCCCCTCCCTCCAACCCACCTGCCTTCTCAAAAGTCACGCTTCCTCCTGCACAATTTCCTTAATTATCCGAAAAATCTGACCAACAATTTCTTGAACAAAGGCAAATAATTAAGAAAAGAAGCCATTTAGGCACGCAACGCCAAGAGATTTAACGACATCAAGCATCGGTCTCTCTTCGCCCGGAGAAATCCGACGGGCGGACAGGCAGATAAGATAAGACCGACAGCACAGCAAAGCGAAGCGAAGCACGGATCGAGACGAAGCTCCCGAGAGGAGATCGGCGACGGATAAGCACGGAAGGGGAACGGGATCGCATCTCCAGGCATGGCTCAAAAAAGGAAGGAACAACAAAAGGCTGACAGGAAGAGAAGTGAGCACGCAACGGAAACAGCACCGTCGCATGCCATTTTCCCCCGCTGTGTGCTCACTCTCTTCTGTCAACCCCCCTCGCATGAAATCTCCTCCTCCTCCTCCTCCTCCTCGAGATCCCCATCCCTTCCTCCTCTCTCTCTCTCATCTGCCTGCAAAATATAGGGTTTGGGGGAGGAAGTTCTCTCTCACTCTCTCTCCTTCCGGTCTTGAGGTAAGCTATCGGATACCAAAAGAACCGAAGATGTAATTTGACTAAATAGGAGGGTTGGGAGTTGTGGGATACAGTAACAAAGGGTTTTAATTTGATGATGACATGTCATATTTATCTAGTCTGATAATACTAATAATAATATATTTAGTTATCCTATATATTCTAGTTTTAGAAGGTGTCAATTAATTTAATTAGTAAAAATTTTGATGATTTTTTTAATAAGATTCTGAACTTAAATCTAACCTTCTTCATTTATTGTCTATAAAATTAAACTGAATTAAATTAAATAAAAATAAAAATAAAAGAGGCTGTGGATTAGGGGACGTACGTGTCGATCAGGGGGAAGAAGGGGTGTCGATGGGCCCCGCTAATGCCGGTGCCGTGATGAGCGGATGGGACTGCGTCACTGTGCGGATTACAGGTACGAATTGCCGGTCGCTTATTATTATTTGTTACCGCTCTTTCCCGGACCCCAGTAAGACTAATTAGGAGGCCACGTGGGTCCCACAATTCGATTTGTTCCTTCGGTTCGACATTGACTTTGTGTTTGTGTGTGCTGACTTTTGGTAATGGAGACGTTCTTTCGAAACTTCAAATATGGGCAAAAATTACTTTTAAAAATTATATGAGATTTCGACCGAGTAAATTATCGAGAATATCTATTTATTTTTATTTATATAAATGTATTCTACTCATAACTATTATCAAGAATAGAAGGTTTAAATAAAAATAAAATTATCAATAAATCCATGAAAATATGGATGGTTTTGTTTTTTTAAATAAGATATAAATATTAAAATATAGTAAACTATATAACTATAATAATGAAATATATGATCGAACAAACGACCAACAAACTCATACTTTGTAAGACTAAGTGCAAAAAACTCACATAAGTACAATGACTTAAGATCAAAAAAATAAGTAATGATCGAAGACCGTAAGACGAGTTGAGTTCAGACAACAAGACTAATTATTATTATTATTATTATTATTATTATTATTATTATTATTATTATTATTATTATTATTATTATTAGTACTGAACTATTGATTGCATACTTAATGTCTTATAAAGTTGTCTTACAAATAATATATATTTATGTTTGAGTTAAAAATCCATGTTTTATACACAAACAAGAAAACCACCATGGCATGATATTATTGTAACCTAACTGACTGTTATTATGTTAATCATTATGTTGGTCCCTTTCTTTGTTCAACCACAATTAGGTTTTCAGTGCTTGTCAACATAACACTTGTAGAACCTTTTGCAAGTTCAGCTGAAACCTAACCTAACCATTATTTGCACCTTTTTTTCTGTCATAAATTTTGTCTCTCAAGTGACCATGCAGCCAACACAATCTTCAATTTTAGACATTGATGGCATATCAGCCTCAGTAATACCAGCTATTAAAACTAATGCTAGCAAAACTCAAGAACAACTTTATCTTCAAAGTTAAACAAATAATGTATGTATAACATTTATTCCACTTGAGACTAAGGCTAGCATGCTGATTTATTTCCTCCATGAAGATTCTAATAATATTGTTTTGTTGTTAGTTGGATGATAGAAAAACACATTAATATGAGTGATCCAAAACAGTTGGGACTTGTTGTTGGATTCTATTTTTGTGTAGAGTAATTATAATTGTTGGAATTATCCATTTGTTGTTCACCTATAGCTTTCACCAAAGATTTAAGATTCCAAAAGATAGAAAGAGACTCAGACAGCCATCCCTAAATTTTGGAACTTTCTTTTTATAATTAATCATGAAAGTGACCATTATTAAGGTAGATGGCTTTGCTCCACCACCCCAAAAATAAAATAAAATACAACTTGTATATAATAATTTCATTTTAAAATTTAAATTAATAAATCTAAACAAATCTTCATTTGCTTTTTTGCTAGAAGGACAATAGCTCATGAAAGAGTTAATAATCATAGTAACCAATTTGGTGACCAACTCTTCTATTCCTCCAAAGAGTTGGAAGGGAAGAATTTAGAGTGTTGTTTGTCTTCTTATTTTTTCCATCTAAATAAAGAGAAAAAAAAAAAGGTGTTTTTATTTTATTTTATTTTGGAGTGTCTTTCCCTTTTTCTTCTCTTTGTTTCTCTCGGGCTCTTCTCTACTTTATCATGCCTTTACTCCTCTCATTTTTCCTTGATGTGATCAAACATAATCTCTGAAAGGAGATGGTGCACCAACCACATTGTATTGTGTTCATGTTGTTGCATAGAATCATCCTTATCTAAAGGATTGTGTGGCCTCTCACAACCCTCTCGTGTGTAAGACTCACCACAGTTTTGCATCACCTCTTATAAGAATTCGGATTAATCTTGAGAAATATTCTCTTGGTAGAATTTTGAGCAATTTATCAAGAAAAAAGAAACCCTTCAAATAATCAAAAGATATAATCGTTTTCGATAATTACCGAGGGACGCTCTATACTATGTTTCGAATTATTTTATCGATTACTTCATTCTTTCTCGGATAAAAAAAAAACACTTCAAATAAATTTCTCATAAAGAAGGCATTGTTTATAATTAAAATGGCCTAATTTATATTTTTTTTATAACTATGAGCGCATGAAAAAGGAGAGAGACCGATCACACCAATTATGCTTGCCATAATAAGTTTATGGACCATGATATATTTACGTTGATCGAACCACTCCAACAAAGTTTGGTTGATATGGGAGACCCATAAATGTAGGTCACATCACAATATGTTTTCTTGTTGGAATTCTTGAGTTGACAAACCCATCAAGAAAGGCAACCTTCAGTGAAATGCTCGACCAGTGGTACTGATTTGGTTTGCACAGAGATGAGACCTTTTAACTGTTCCATTAGTACAATCTTAAAGTATTGAATATAATCATACAATAATAAAGAGAAGAAAAGAAAAAAAAAAAAAGATAACTCTCATAGTTCTAATGAGCACGAGAAGTAGCAACCTAACATAGTTGGGTCACTTCCTTTGGATCGAATCAAGATTTGATCAGCTTTGATAATTATAAAAATATGATCGAAGAAATATCGCGAATGTCGATCCCAATATCATGTTATATTTTATTCGTTATTGATATTAGTTAATGAGAATTTAAATAAATTAATTATAAACTTATGTTATGGAGATAAATATAAAATGACATAAAATATTTAAATTAAGTAGGATCAAGATTAGATATAGGAGATGTGATCTCAGTAATATTAGGATTAGAATAAAGTATTCGATAATAAATTTTATTATGTAAAATAAATAAATATATTAGGGCAAATATTTAATAAGATGAAGATATGGATGAAAGTATAGAGGCTAAAATTGATAGAGGTGTCAATGTGATCATCAAGTTATCTTTATATTTAAATAAAAATTTCATGAAATAGTTATTAGATCAAAAATATTTTATTAAAGGAACGACATATATAAAGAGCTTATTGTTGCTGAAATTAATATACAAGTTTAATAAGAAAGATTAAGAAAAAATATTTTCATTCACAAGAATTATTTTAAATAAAATGAGTGTATGTTATGGTTAGAAAAGTTAAAATAGCTATAATTAATGGTATGAAGAAAAGATGTTATTATTAATGATAAATAAAAATATTTAATTTTTTATTTAATCAAATATATGACTTTATGCATAGTATAACGACGATAGGAGATATATATGTAACTGACATCAAATAGTTGAAATAGTATCATTCGATATCCTAAACCCATATAATCCCAAAAATGATATTGTTTAGGATATGTATAATTAATATCTATATATGATATTAACTACATTTTCATAATGTATTCATTAAGATAGGTGTTAAGGAAAAACTATTGCTATCTTTTTTTTTCTTTTTTTGCAAATGGAGGATTAGTTAGATTTTATATCCCAACTTTATTTTGAGTTGGAGGAGGCCAAAATAGATATTATAAGCCTCTTTGCCTAATGGGTTTGGTTTAAATCTCGTGTGTATTCGACCCGTTTCTCAACCTTGGCTTCTTAGCGGGCTTGAGGTTTTCGTTCATTAATGGGCTAACACGCTATAGACTTGTGCTTATAAGAATTTATTTATGGACTTCATTTACCTGAGTAAGACATCTTTCCATCAAACTACGTTTGAAGGAAATTTACAAAAGTTTACTAGAATATATCAAGAATTATCAATCAAAGAATAAATCATAACATGAATATTATAAATATATTTTTAGTTGTTTGAATTAGATATTGGTTGGAAGCTAACTATTATGCTGAGGTGAATCTTGTAAAAATTATGTGATGATTTGAATTATTTAACTTGCACTTTTGAGAGATATAGTTTATTCCTTGTATACTTGAGGAGTCTTTTTATAGTAAATTCTGAATACAATTACTCCCACAATAAATGTCAATAATTATGATCCAATTAGGAATGTGATAACTTTCAACACATTTAATATTATATCGAGGTATCGACCATAGGACGATGAGATGTCTACCACATGATGTTGAGGTACTCTACCTATATATCAATATTATGTGAGAAAAATAAATATAAGAAATAAATTTTTTGAGTCAAATAATCCTTTGATAAAATATTAAAACACATGAGATGTTTATAAAATAAATCATTCTTAATTTACTAAAAATATTATATTTTAATTCATAACTTTCTAGTTAATTTGAATATAATTAGAACTTTAAAAATACTTATGCAAATATAAAATCTTATTTTGTGAGTGCATATTCTCATTGTTCAAGCTAGAATAATGATTTGAATCCAACCAAGGTCAGTCTCATTATTTATAGAGTGTTGATGGTGTAAAAAATAAGTTACGGGCATTCCCAACTATTAGAAAATCGTGGATCAGCATCTCATGCTTAGCAAAAAACAAAAACAAAATCAGATTTCCTAAAGTTATGTACTTGGTTGTTATACGATGATTCATGCAATCAAAAAAATCGAATGTATCATGTGAAAAGTGTTACCTAAGGAGATCATATATCTTTGAAATTTTTAGATCCAATGGAG